TCCTGATGATGCCGAGTGTTACTCGTCGAAAGCTTGAGATAGAATTACTGTGGATTTGAATAAAATCTAATCATGTACTTCGTAGCAGTATGGTACTATCTCATTCATTATATATTTTCAACTGCTGTACTAATTAATTTCTTTTCATATATCTGCTCTGGAAGTTACGGCTATGATCGTATGTATGCATTCTTACACACACGCAGAGGACAGAATGAAATAACAGAAGAGAAAGGGTACGACATGGAACGTGGTCTGAGTGCAGTCTATGTACTGTAGAAGTACCTTTAGACTCAATGGGGAAACAGCTGATTCTGGGATTCCAGAGACTCTAAGGGGTTCAGAAAACTTCTGAAGACTCCGGAAGATTCTGACAGAATCTGTGACAATTTTGGCACCTCAGAATCAGTTGTTTTTGCTCGAGCCCTGTTAGAAAACGACGTCACTTTTTTATGCTGGGTAAACCCAGCATAAAATTTTAATGTCATGATCTAGTACAGAATGGATATTACAAACATTCGATTAAAGTTTAAAAAACATGAGTTATCAATTCATGAGTTGTGGATCGGATGACAATTATTTCCGTTTGAATATGCAAAACAATTGACTATTTTCAATAATATTATGAAATAGTAACTGAACAATCTCGTCAAAACTTTTTATTCGATTTTATTTCAGATAAAGAAAAATATGTACCAATATGTTCCTATTTATTATCATTTTCAAAAAACGCTTTCAATGTTTTTTCTGTTGTTTGTACAAAACCAAAAAACGCTGGATCAATTAGACACGTTGTCAAATATTGATTCAAAAAATCATTTCTTATTTGTATATTTGGTTGTTGATAAGCTAATTTTTCTTGACATAGATCAAGTAAACAATTGTTAGTATCATCACCGTTATCAATTGGCTCATGATTATCGTCGATAAATTGAATTGAAAAATATAATTTTAACACTTCTATACACAAATTTAGGTCTTCCTTATTATTAAATTGTACACGAAATAATCGAACATATTTACCAAATAGATAGACAAACATAATTGTCGTAGATCGAATTAAAACTTTTGTACAATTGTACAATGCCCAGATGTCTAAACATTCTTCAATACAATTATTAGAGGATAAAACAATTAATTGTAACGTTGGTGTAATTTTCATTGATAAATTCGTCGTTGTGTTATCAATAATTGACCAAATATATTCATTTGAACGATTATCACCACTACATTCATATCGACCGTATTTTGATAATTCCCAATTATTACCAGATAAAACGGCCATTCTAAAATAATAATTAGATACGAAAACAGTCATACTGAACATTCAAGTAGCGAATGTTTCAGAACAAATCTTCAGAAATCTTTTTCGTGAGTTAAAAAGATCATATATTAGACATACATACCGAATACATCCGGGTAGGGATGAACGATCACGGTAAAAACGGGTTAACAAACCGATGAAAGTTTAACCGTAATCAACTTTAGTAAAAATTTCCTTATCGTTACCGACGGTAAATGACCGTTGATTACAGAATTTTCGAAAATAGTCTAGTTTTTAAGCAGTGATTAATGTTTTTACTCATCGAATAAAAAAGTTAATACCCATAAAAAAATGCGACTTCACTTTACACAATTTGCCTTTGAAAAAATATTGTAAATATTGTAAAATATTGTATATATATTTCATTCCATCTAATTTCATGTTTCAACAATTATGTACTAGTTTATCAGAAATATTAAAAGAATTTTCTGATGGAAGATTCCTATTAGGAACAGTTCATCGTATTTTTGCTAATTCTTTGATAGTAAATAGAACATCAAAAATTTAAAATAAATTTTGTAAAAAAATATTTAATATGAACAGACTCATCCCTACGTTCGAACTATCGTTGTTCAAAACTATTGTAGGAAACTTTTGAAATTTCTACCAAGCTTGACGAGACCGACTGATAAAAGTCATAACTATTTATATATTCATGATTATTTGCTTGCATATATTTTCTATGGTAAAGTTTCAATATTTTTTAGTATTTCATTGTCTCCAGTACTATGGAATAATTTATTGAAATGGAAAACTGACAGTTCATATGTAAAACAAATCTATTTAAAGAAAAAACATTAAACAGTTTGACTGCAAAAAAAGGAGAAGAAAAAAAATGCATATTCTTGGAAAAAGATCTGCAACGATTATTATCAACGTGTTTAACTACGCCAAAAAATCTGGAATAATTCTGAACAAAAAAATGACCAGTGATTCCACCGTATTATGGAAGAGAATATTTTGTAGACACTGTTATACATAATACTGAACAGAAAAAACTAGATATATTCTTATTAAATGACTTCAGTGAGGCCTTGATAAGAAAACATGATCATTTGTTTTCTGAATTTGTAATTGTTGTGGTTTTTCACTTGTTTTTAATTTTAAAAAATCTTTAATATGTTGTACAATTAAGTCAACGGCTACATAATTATCAGCACCTCTTGGTATAATAACATCGGCATACTTTTTTGTTGGTAAACAAAAATCTTCAAATGCTGGTTTAACATGATTTTTATAACCATTTAAAATATGTTCTAAATTTCTACCATGTAATTTCATATCTCTTAGTACTCGTCGAGCTAAACGTGTATCAGCATCAGTATCAACAAAAAGTTTCATATTAAATAATTCTCGAATTTGTGGAAAATAAAATACGAGTATTCCTTCAACAAATATAACATCAACCGGTTCAATATTTTCATATTCGCCTTCAATATGTGAATATGTACGAGCATCATAATGATTTATACGAACAGTTTTACCATTTAATAAATCTTGTAATGTTTTAAACAATAGTTCATCATCAAATGCTACTGGATGATCTAAATTCCAATCACCACGTGTTGCTAACAAACGTTGTTCTGCACTCTTTGGACGATAAAAATTTTCTAATGCGATCACAGCTACACGATTTGCTTGATCAGCAGTCGAACAAAAATGTAAATCTTGAACGATTTTTTGACAAACGGTAGATTTACCTAAAAAAAACTACTTTATTAAAGTCATTAAAAATTTTCAAAAAAAATGGAAAAACTAACCAGAACATGGACCACCAGCAACTCCAATAAGAAACGGTTTTACGAGATAACTTGCCATAAAATACAGACACCTCTAGCGAATGTGTTCAACAAAAATCATATCTAAAATAGCGGAACAGATATAAAATGTGAAGAAATAATCTAATATAATGGGACATTCGGAAACGCGTACCATTCTTCGTAAAATATGTCATTAATATTCTACTTTTTCAATTATATTTGTTCTGTTATCTTATGGTTTCTTCAAACCATTTAGAAAAATTGAATATTTATCTATATTCAATTCATCTATATGCTCTACGCTTTAGTAGATGTAAATCCCACCCCCCCCCCTTGTCAACCTTAGTTCTGTTGTCACGGTAGTAACTGTGACAAAAGACTAGATTTTATCACGTTCGCAAGTTCACTGATGAGGGAACCTCTCGAGGTGATTAAAAGCTTTTCGACTCAGACTATTTTCATCATGTAGGGAATAGTCAGTAGTGAAAAACCCAAGTTGGTTTGGGCCCATGCGCCTTTTTGACGGAGATATGAGTTAATTATGAAAATACCATTAATAATAATTAATTAATAGCTCACGACCATGATCAGCTAGGAGTCGGAAATTTACACTAAGGACTTTAATTTTTGCTAGTAACAAGTGAAAACCGGTTTTTCAAAAAATGCGTCTGGCGAAGTTATTTTGATTTCTACACCAAAACAAATGTTGCTACTATGCTCAGCGTAGTCGATTACCTATATTCCATGGCATTTCGAGATTCCCAGAGATGTCTGCTGGGAGATAGACACGCGCTCGAGGAAAGCGATTCCTTTCCGAACGACGATAGCTGTAAAGCTGGGACTTACATAATTTTGTACAGTAACGTCCGGACTACCTACGCATGCAAAAAAATTACTATTGTTGTATGTTAGTTTTCTGAGAATGAAGCTGCTTTTCCAAAGATCTTCTGGAAAAGCGGACTACCAGAAAATTTTGAAACAAATTTCTGCCGACAAGAAAAAGGAACCCGAAAATAACTAAAAGTATCGTCAAATTCGTAGTTACAAAGTAACTAAAGTAACGATAACTGTGACATTCCTAATTCTGCGCACGACTTTGGTTCTTGGTATGAACAACAACAACGTTCAACAATACCGGATTTTTCATACGGATAACAATACCGGATCCGGCTGCATTTTCATATTATTTTGAAAAACAATAGTTGAATAATTTGAAATTTTGGTATAAGGGTGCTGCTCGTGGAGTTTTATCCACAAAGAATGGCCTGGCATCTATCAACGTTAAAATAAAACAGAACACATTAAAAAACAAATTATGTTTGTCAGTATTCTTACCAGTTATTGAAAAGATGTAACTCGAATGGACTGAAAAATCGGTTCCAAATGGTTTCATTTTATGTCCTTCTACTGGTATTGAACAAGAAAAAATTGCATGGAAATGGAAGAATGATCTGATCAATATTTTTATTTTTATTAATACAGCCATGTGCATGTTGTTCCATCGTCGTATTGTAAATAATATACATGTACTGCTTGTCTACAAGCTTATAATACAACGCCGTGTTCTCAATTTGATGAGTTCTCATCATGGCTATATGCTGGAAAATTGATCGCTATACTCATGATGTACTCATACAAGACAAATTTGAGAACGTAGGTTTTTAAACATGCATTTGTTATTATGTAGCTTTGGATCCAGGAAAAAAATTAGATGATTTAGATGAATGACGAGGACGTCTGAAAAAGGCAACATCAGCTTTATATCACTAGCATTGTTATGTTGGAGATATGCAGCTGATCCTTTTTGTAGTATTTATTAAGTATAGAATTTTGTGAGCAAACTGGACACAGAACTCTTGTTTCTTGAAATTTCAATTAAATAACGTAAACCAGGCAGTAAACGATGCAGTTATCGAATACATTCCGTTTTCCGGGCACAAAAGTGTGAAAACATTTATTTGTGCCTGGACCGGGTACTAATCAGTGGCACTGGGCACGAATAAATGAGAAAATCAGACACAAAAAATAATTTCTTCGGAAACGGATCACAAAAATTTTTAAGTGGTTTATTTCAAAATATTCCTGATCATGGTGAAAAAACTTGGATGAAAAATGAATTATAGTATCACATCTCTTTTACATATATTTCTAGAAATTTTTTTAAAAATCTACGCACTGTTCGTGAGATTAGTTACATAAATGTGACAAGCAATTAAGTCAACGATTAGTTATTATAAATTTCAGATTATTCTGACATAGTTCTAAATTAAGAATGTTTTATTCTACGGTTAGTTTACAGAATTTGAAATATTGAAACAGTCATCTATCTATTATACTTGATATCAAGTGCAGTTATATCACAAGAAGCGAGTAAAACACATATTTCTAGTTATACGGACACAGTTGGTAAAGTCATAGAAGGATGGACTGTTTCATTTTCTTTAATTTACTGTATATAAAATAATCGTGTTTATCATGCACAATAAATTTAACAGTATAAAAATAAAAATAGTCTGCTTCAAAAGAATTTCGTAATAATAAAGTATTCTAATAGAATTCGTTTATTTTTTCGAAACAAGCACAGCATGAGTTATCCTTCACGTCTGATATGTTAAAAGTGAAGTCGAAGTTTCCAATCATCCCTCAATTACGATGGTTATTTCGTAGTAGTCATGATGCTTATTTTATGATTACTCAAATTAGGTATGCACCGGTATCGGTATACCGAATACCGAAAATACCGATACCGCAAATACCGAACTTCGGTATATACCGAAAATACCGACTTTTTTTTACTTGGAATTTTTTGGATTTTTTCATTTGAAATGAGGTATTTTAGCATCCTGGACAAGCAGAACGTATAAACAACACTCAGCTGTGTATTTTGAGCATGTTCAGATAG